ACTTATGGGGGAAGAACTTCAACGCCAAATGTGAAACAGTTCTGAAAGCAGTGATTTCGAAAACAACCTAAAAGGAATAAAAATGATTCACTAAATAGAAATGCGATTTCTATTTAAACTATTTCCCTATTAAAGTATTTCAAATGGGCTACAGCCTAATCAAGGGTATCGCTCCACCTTCCAGACCGCCTGGGCACAGCTGAACAAGCCCCCCGGTGGGGCCGAGAGCCGCACCCCCCAGGGCTGAAGGACAGCCAGGGCCTGTGTGCAGGGAGCGGGCATCCCGACGAACCCCTCCGAGATGAGAGAGAGGGGGGCGAGACCAAGGGAAATCAGAGCTTGAATTGTTTCGATAGAGCAATTTGATTCAATTTTCCACTCAATAAAATTACCCATCAATGCTCGTGGCGTCTGCAGACCAGACTCCCTCATTTTCAGATTCCACTCTTAATTGAACGAGTTTATGTACTTGTCTTATGGAAATTGGAAAAATTTATCACCTGGAAAATGTTATTTTTTCCTTGGCTGTAGATGTTTTTAAAACTTCATTAAAATGATGAGCGACTATGAAATTAATTTGTTAACATTTGCATAATAGAAAAACTGTTCCACTTTGGAGGAGGTGAGGTGAATTATGACACACTGGCATCCTGCTGTCTGAGAGGATTCTTCTAAAAACCCCTCACTATTACAGGTGAAGCTCCCTGTGTGGCAGCAGTTCTGCCGTTAGAGAAATGGTAGCTCTGCAGACTGGAAGTCAGATCTCTGTTCAGGTCTCCAATAAAGAGGATAACTCGATTTCGCTGGCCCTAGAATTGCAATGATCCGACTGATTGTTCGCAAGGCGGGTTCATGTGGCAGGTCCCTCCAAGTAATCCCTTGCTAATCTGTTCAAGAATACCCAAGTATGATTCAGTAAGATGTGTTGGGTGAACTTTATACCTGGCAAATTCTTGCATTAGAGCTGACGAGTCACCCTTACAAATCAGATGTTTTTAGGGTAACCAAGCCAATCACCATCTGCCATAACACGCCCATAGAGGTCATCACAAGAATTATGACATCATTTTGTCAATTATGACATCATTCGTTCAATTTTACTGGTCACTGGAGCTTCATTGACCAAACGATTATCAGCCGAGAAACTGTCCCATGAGCTTTTCATGATGAATAGCAAACAGTGATGCAGCACTCAGATTTGTATGCTAGCTCCGTAGCACATTTACGTACAGTCACAGACCTGTGTGCCTCACTCTCTTAGGGCTCTTCCAGACAGCAGATGGACCAACAAGTCAAAGATGGCCATATTGTGAGTCATGGGTGGGTGCAAGGAACAAGATACCATGCCATCTCTTGCAGTAGACACCTTGGGTTTATAAGACACGAAACAGGTGTTTGATATCCTTGGGGTAACAAGACAGCAGCAACTAAAATGAGCAGAATGAGCCAACAGGCCTCCTCTTACTTGTGGACTTTCTTAGTTCTTAGATTTTCTGACTTCAGTGTTGTTGGGTCACACAGCTGGAATCTGCAACCACGTCACCTCACTGACAGCCATCACCAGGCCAGGCTTGAACAAAGCCTCATCTCTTCATTTCCAAGGGTGCTTCAGTTTGCACGGGCAGAAGAGGACAGACACGGTTTCCTCACATTGAACATGCTCCCTGAGATGCTGAGAACTACTGTTAACTTTTAATCTCCCCCCCAGGTGGAATAGCAACCATTAGGGCCTGAGCTGTACAACTCAAGAAGGGCATAAATCTTCCTGCTGAACACTTAGGGGGTTAAGTAATAGTTTAATGGTGAAAAACCTTCTGTAAGAAAGGAAGGGAAAAAAATTAAGACAAATGTCCTGCCAGCAAGGTAGTTATTAAAACTAGCTCACACTTTCCCTGGCACTCCCCAGCTGTCTGTGTTGAGTGACTTAAGTGTTCAGAAGCACTGCAGCTGCGGTGGGGAGCTGCCTGTGAGCTCACAGCCACCTGTCAGCCACAACAGGATTGAGCCTCCTCACCAACTGCATTTGCTCAAATATTTATACGCTGCAAGCAGAGACAAGCAGCTCTAAACTCACACAGGACAGCAATCAAATTAAAGTAAATTCTCCCTTCAGGCGAGATAGGGAAAAACTTTTAGTTTTCTAAGTGTGCTTTCCAAGAAATGTATGGAAAAAAATCAATCCCCTGTAGTACTTAAAATTTACTTTTGCATTAACACCCGAGTAGCTATGTCCTGTCTAACGCCTACTGTATATTGTTCCTGTGTGTGGGTTGGAGAGCTGGTCACCCACTTGCCCTGTGTTCAACAGACAGCGTCTGTGTCAGACCCTGCCCTTGCTTCATTGCAGCCATGCCACTATCAACGCAGAGGTCCGAGCCAGAGCAGCACCAAGAGCCTGTGGTGATCTTCTGCGCGTCTTTGTACAGCTGACCTGCTCAGACACCCCTGAGGCTCCTGTCAGAGCAGGACTTGCAGCAGTGGAAGGACTGGGAGAGACTGGAAGCGACTTCACAGCCTTGGTCAGGAGGCGTGGATCCGCAGGGCGGGGGCTGCACACTGCACGCTGGGCGGAGCGGAGCGAAGGAACGTGACGTTTGGTAAAGCGATGTGCTCTTCAAAGCCCCCCAGCTACTGTAGCTCACCAGGGAGGATCATGCTTCGGTCAGGTTAACCGTTAGTAGAAGCTGTTCTACAACTAGACAGCTGCACTATGCCCAACTCATCTGATTCGTCTGTTATAAACCACTGACCTCCAAAATCTTAGACAATACGTAACAAAAATAATAATAATTCCTTACACTTATATAACGCTTTTCTGGATACTCCACTCAAAGTGCTTTACAAGTAATGGGGATCCCCTCCACCACCATAGTGCCATAGTGCGCCAGAACACTCACCACACATCAGCTCTCAGTGGGAGGAGAGCAGAGTGATGAGGACAGTTCAGAGATGGGGATTATTCGGAGGCCATGATTGGTAAGGACAAGGGGGAAATTTGGCCAGGACGGTTGGGTAACACCCCTACTCTATTTGAGCAAAGCCCTGAGATTTTTAATGACCACAGAGAGTCAGAAGTGTTATAAAACACATCCTCTTGTCCACTCCGACATCTTGTGAAAGCTCTGTGATGGCTTTCAGTGAGCATGGTAAAAGTCTTTAGTGTGCCTGCCTGGTGTCTCTGGGACCTTTCTTCAGGAGCGGGGAGATATGCCAGAGACCAGCAATTGACAGCTGAATCTCGGGCATCTGTGTTTTGATATAGATGACTCAATAATCTGGACCCAAGTTATAAGCAGCACCAAGAAAGCCACAACCCACAGAGGTTTATTTTCTTTAACATCTTAGTCATGGAAAACCACCCAGAAGCTCCACATACGTGGAGAAAACTCCTCCTGTGAACATGGGTCTGTAACAACAATATGATCCTTTTCTTCTCCCAGGGGCAAGAAAATACCCAATGCCAGCAATAAAAGATTATTTAACAGACAAATAAAAAGGAAAAGGAAAAAAAACAGGAAAAGTTGTGGGTTCAGGTAAAACCACTAAATTCCAGGTGTGGCGTACTGTATACACTGTATTTATAATTACCAATGTTCTGCCAAAATAAACAGAAAGCATCAATGCATATCAAAGGTGAGACTTTCCAATTCATTCGGTAAATTCCGTAAGGTATGTAAGACCTTTAAATATTAAATAAATTACTTATTATTTTCAGGGTTTTTTAAAGGTCTTACATACCTTACAGAATTTACAATATGAATGATTGTGCCACGGAACCCTAATGAATGTGTTTTGAAACACCGTGCTGGTCTCCAGAAGATAAACAAAAACAAAACACATGTTCCACTTTTTTTTTAAATCACGACGGCCATGAAGCTCCTGCATGTCACCCCGCTTCCTGCCGGCCCCCTGTCCTCCGGAGCCCTGTGATTGGCCGGGGCCAGGGCTGACATCAGCAGGACAGCAGCAGAACACACATGAAGCCCATGGCTGGTGGGAGCCGCTGGGAGGCCTGGCGGAGAGCGGCTGTAATCTGACTCGCCATCTGTGGTCGGGGTCCTTTCCGCGCCCCAGATGGCTTCCAGTGCAGAAGTGACAGCCACTAGAAATTATGGTCTTCCCTCCCTTCATTTTATTAACTGCGGTGGAGGTAATGCACTCAGTCTGAGAAACGATATCTTTATATATCTTTTTACAGATAGGGTGACAGGCTACATCTACAACCCCCCACCCACCCACTCCAGACCCCCCTCATGCATACATGCATCCCCCAATCTGTCAGGAAGCATTAATTCTGCACTTTCTTCCCAGCTGGTTCACATTAACAAAAAAAAACCATTCAATTTAATTTTATTTGTGGTTTTCAAAGTTTTTCGACCACTGTGCTCTTAATAAAGAAAGCATGTTTCATTTTTTGGAAATTAATTTGGTGATGCATGATGGGCCCTGACAACTCCTGATTTTCCACTGAAAAATCTGCTGGTATGTACTGTGCATGTAAATAGTCCATCTATCATATTATCTCTCTGTGCCTGTTACAGTACGGTCATCTATCACACAACTCCACCACTCCGAACCCGCCAGCATGATGATCCCTGACAAAGCCCCGCTGATATTTCATTATTGAGACGACTGGCAACAGCGTTGCACTGAACCACCAGAGCTGGGAACATATCCTCTGGCATGTAACATTCATACCGGGATGCCAGGCCTTAAATAGTCATCTTTATCAAAAGAGACCTATGAAATCCGCAGGACCTTCTCCAGAACCTGAGCTGTGCGCTGCTGGGATACATCAGCGCAGGAAGACGAGAAGATTAATCCCACACTGGAACACCGAAAGGAGAAGCAGTGTTTCGGCTGTTGGGGTCCAGGTGTGGACCTGCCCCATTTCCTCTGCAGCCAGCCTACACTGACACGGCTGGATCTCTATACAGCACAGCACAGCACCGGCGGGCCGGCAATCCACCTCTCCCCGCAGTTCACCGCTCACACCTTACCTGGCAGCACCTCGTAGATATCGTCATCTTCCTCCTCTGCCTCCGGCTGCCCCCCTTTCCGCTCCTCCTGGGTCTGGGGTGCTGGGGCGGGGCGGGGAGCAGGAGGGGAGGTCACAGCGTCGACGTCGTCGTACGTCTCGTCCTCGCCCTCCACTTCGTCCTCTTCGTCCTCGTCGAAGGGGATGAAGCTGGAGCTCAGGTCTGTGGCACAGGCAGTTAAAGCCAGTTAACAGGGGGGAGGGCAACCGAAAGCTACAGAGCTTATGAGTTCTTCTGAATGGTTCACAATGGGATAGACAGGTCAAACATGTACTTGCAGGATAGGATTTCAGCAAAATCAAGCTACTGCTCACAGAAGTATAACAAATGCATGATAAAAAAACTCTTAAATTTGTAAAAGCAACAGAAACAAATGATGGACATGGGAAACTGACCAGGCCATCTGTGGAATACTGTGCAGGTGTAACCTGAGCAAGTGAATGATTCTGACCAAGGGTTACGAACCTTACTAAGAATGCTTGAATGTAACTGGCAGAACGCAAACATGGCTATTTATTTATTCTTTTGTTCTTGCAGGAAATATCTGAGGATGAGTTCAGAGGTTCCTCTGCAATGCATTTAAGTCTTGCTCTCCTTTTGGACTGTTCTAAGGTTATCAGCTTCCAGGGAGTAGACAGGATTCCCAGGACACAATCTTACAGTCCTTTCTGGGTTGTGGTGCCGAGTAGGGCTATAAGCCCATGGTGTAGCACAGAGCTTCAGGACCAAGGCATTGCAGTGCCTCTTGCATGATCAGTCTGTGTGTGATCCCCTGAAGTGCCACGCCCCCTGCTCCCATGAAAGAGGGGGAGGTTTCTGGACTCTGGACCGCAAGCAATAAATGACACGCTGGGAGCGTGGCCTGCTTTGGACAGGGGATCCTAAAATGAGGCGCATGAAAGTCTAGTAACAGTAGGCGTCTGATGATGGCTGACAGCACTGGAGCCAAAAACGCTCAATGAAGTGGTTTCTTGGCAGAACATTTGCGGTCAAAGGAAATTTTCATCTGGGATATCTTGTCTGCTACTCACGAAAGTTGTCAGCAATGCACAGTCAAACTGGCTTTTAAAGACACTTTATTAGTGTAAAAATGGCAGAAGAAAAACGAATGCTTTTTTTTTAATGAAAAGCAGAGGAGGAGTGAGAAGGAACCTAACGCTGCAGAAACCCAGGGAGCTGCCTCTTTATCCCGAGGAGAATTCAAGGGAGGAAAGTGGACCCAGAGCTGCTACACAGCTACTGCACAATGGGAAAGGAAGTCCCTAACACACAGCACAAGGTCTTTACTCCCGCATATCCAATCAATAAACAAATATGTGAATCAATATGCATATGAAGAAGGTAAGTCAGGAAGGAGAAAATTTCATTTATAATGAATTCCCAGATAAGAGCGCCATAAAGCTGCAGGAAGCAAATCCATTAGGGAAAAAAAAAACTCTTAATGCATCATTTAAAAAAAGCCAACCTCAATAGAAAAGAAAGGATGTGTATTGTTGTACTGTGAAGGAGCTGATGAAGTAGGGAAACAATGAAGACGGATTAATGTGTGACAAAATGGTGATCATTTCACTGTCAAAAGCAGGCCTGACCCGATTCCTTCCTGAGCAACAGCGCTGTCATCGGATCTCATGGATTTAATGCGGCCCCGATTGCAAATGACAGCAAGACTGAAACAAAGCCTATCAGGTCCTAACAGATACTCTGTGATGGAGAAGGAAGAGGGAAAAAAATCAATAGATTCCAAGGATAACCAGAAAGTTTGCCGAACGATTTCCAGTAAAGACAGAGCAGGGTTAGGAGGAGCTGGCACGCCTGCACAGGGCAGATTGATGACAATGGCACAGAGGAGCCGCAGTGCTGATCCAGCTCAGCTACAGGGGAGAGAAACCCCCTCCCTGTCCCGGGCTGAGTCTTTCACACTGCACGCCCACTTCCACAGGCCACTGCGACAGGCACAGTGCACGAACAGGGCCTGACATCGCCGAGCCAGAGGAATGCGCTCTACGGAAACTAACCCACACCTGGAAGGCGACTGTCTCTGCTGTGTGTTTGCTGTCCTGCCATGACGTGAGACTTAACAGGAATCAGAGACTGAGATCTTCACTACACAGCCAAGACTGTAAAAGTCTGTTAAATCTCTCCAAAGTATAAAATATTAAAAACACACCCTCCGCTGATGTTTTTAAATCTCGCCACAAAACCTGCTGATCATCCTTCAGTTCCTTAACATATTTCTTTTTGTTTCTCATTTGTACATGTTTTTTGTACTATTTTTATGTTTATCCTTTCTTCCATTTACTAGTCTTGTTTAAAAGTGTCTGATTTATGTCAAATGCCTCGAGAATGCTCTGCACTGAAAGGCACTACAGAACAATAAAGACTGATCGACTGACAGGAGTTATCAGCGGGGAACCCAAGCTTGTGTGGACGTGTGACAGAATGGCAAACACTTACCCTTAAGGACAAAATTAATTTGATCCACCCATTCCCTGGCTTCCTTTGGGCTGCTGGCTGTAAACTGCAGAACAGAATCACCATCATCATCGCAATTAGTGTTAGAAGTCATTGCATTATTAATATTAACAGCAACAAACGTAGCAATAACAGCACTAGGAGTAGCATGTGTATAGTCTGAGGTTCCCTCTTAGCAACAGCTAAAACAACATTGCTGAAGTTAAGGAGAAGAGCTGCTGATCATCAAGACAAAGACGAGACTCTGAATGGAGTTATAGTGTATGACTGCTTGGATTAATGGACAACTATGTGTGCAGTATTGTGCTTTGGCAATTAAGAAATACTGGAGAAAAACAATTTATGACCATAGCAACATAGGACATAGCTATTAATAGCTATTAATGAGCTCTGCAATGTCAAAAGTGTTTCAGTTTGAAAATAATGCTGCAAAAACACATGGGCATGTGCAGCTACTGATGGAATTGATAGCCTTCTTGAACCTTACATCGAGTACTGAAGTAAAGTTTAAAAACCTGAAAGACAAAATGTCATGTTTTACAAGAGTGGTGTTACTATTTTCAAAATTGACACCTTTGAAGAACGTTTCAAATACATTGAGGATCACAAGCAAAAAAACTGCAGGATATAGACGGAAAATGATACAGTAGTTCACCCACCGTCAGATACAGGTATATAGCGTAAATATACAATATACATATAAACACGAAAAATGAACAGAAGAGATGGAGGTGGGGTTGACTATAATTAGCAATCTAAACGTGAAGGGTAACTGGCTAATTAATTTAGTATTGGAAAGATTCTAGCCATCCCCACTGCCCACCTCCCCTCTTCGACTCGACAGCTGGGGAGATGTGGGTGTGGCCCCTATCACAATGGGAATCTCCATGGCAACTCGTGTCGCTGACGTCAACCACACCGTCACCGTGGAGATTCTCGTTGCTCTGTCACTCAGGCGCAGAGACCAACCATGTCTTAAGAATCTCAAAAACGTTATTCTAACTGCTTTCATTCTAAAAGGCCAGGAATATACGTACAGTACATACATATATACTGATGGCAGCCCACTGGTGGCATTATTACTGGCCTCTGCTAGAGAGATGTTTAATGTGCCGTAGCATTAATTACCTTAATTTACGAAGACAGAAAAATAATCTCACTCAGCGTTGCCTTGCCATTTCCAGCCAGCACCAGGAAATAAAGATTTAACCCTGTAACACCACGTAATTCAGGCCTCTTACTGATTTACTGTCAGGCATGATCCAAAATGCTAAGGGGGTGAATTACAATGCATTTAAAACGTGTCAAATTCCAGCTCGAAATTCCAAGGCACGCACCAGTTAGTTTCAATTTGGTCAGAATGGTATTTTTGGTTCGCTCATAGAACGCGATAAAACGTCACTTCTCCAAAGGCAAGCTGAAAGCCCTCCTGGAACACTTGAATGGGCCTTTAAACAAACTGCGGGTCAGAGACATTTGTTTTCTGTGCTGCTTGGGAATGACACACAACAAGGTGCCGGGGCCACTTTCCAGTCACGGGCTAAATGAAGCAATTCCACCGCTGAGGCCAGGGTGGGTCTCGGGTTCGAGGACAGGTACCTGGAAAGAGCGCTGCCCTGGAGCGCTGAGCTCGAAGCAGGAATTCCTCTTGGAGTCTTTCCGCAGGGTCCCCACCAGCCCGGCGCTGTACCCGTTGATGTAGAAAGAGCCCTTCTGCTGTTTGTCTGCGAGCGCAGGAGAAAAACGAAACAACACCCAGCACTTATCACTGACTCTTTGCAAAACCGCATTATGCAGCGGACGGCCTGCAGGGGAGACTGCTCCAGCTTTTAAAATGAACCGGCACCAGGTAGCGCTTTGGGCCGAGACCCCAAGAGACGCGACGGGGTCCCCGAAACGCCTTACAAGACCAACTTCAGAGCTGCCGGCGCCGACAGGTTTTTTCGGATTTTCTGATTGAATCATTTTCCATAAACTTGTTTTTCTGAGACACCCGTGGGTCCACAGTCTCACCTTTCTCGCTCCCGAAGTAATAGAAGATGGTATTGTTGAGGACGCACCAGCGCCTCTGCCACTCTGAGCCAAAGAAACTGTGATCTGCAAGACAAGAAAAACAGAATGATGGAATCGTTCCAATAATCCATCCCTACTGGACACCCTTTCTAACCCGATAAACTGCCCAGAGTGACAGGTCAAATCTCTTTTTACTTGATAGTAAACTGTACTCCACGACTGATATTCAGGTACTGTATATTGGAATCCTTTGCATAACGTGTTACAACAGATTGCCGTTGGTAGTTGGTACTTTGTTTCTTGCACTTGCTGAGCACACCTTTGGGCATATTGCAACTGTCTGGAATGTAAACTGCGCTGTTTAAAAGGCGTCCGCAAGATGAGGATGCTGATGATGATGAAGGAGCAGGAGGAACAGGAGAAGTTTCATCAACAACTCCAAAGCTGCAAAGCTACAAAATTCATAAAACTTATAACCTTCTTTTTTAATTGCTCGTTGTTCAAACCATGAGTCATAATAATAGAATGTAATAAGTAATGCCTTTAAAAAAAGCCACTGGATATAATTATGACTATTTTAGGGATTGATGTTTCTGGACCTTGCATTAATTTCTTTTCTAAGAGCAAAAATACTCAACTGGTTTAATTACAGTTAATTTTCACATTAATCTTCCCCCGCTCTGGTTCTTGGTGTAGAAAAGGAAACACTGGCTCTGTATCCCGGGTGGGAGCTGGAGAGGAGCAGTCCAGCACAGGCCTGTGAGCACAGCCGGACCCCCACACCGGAAACATAAACAGCTGTGCAAAGGACATCATCCTGGATCATCATGCTCAGCCAGATGTGCTTGATGGCTTCTCAGATTTCCAGGATCTTTCTAAAAACCTGAAACATGTTTCTGAGTGCCCCTTGTGAAACCCGCTGACGCCCTGCAGTGTCTCCTTGTACAACAGGGATGACATTTTCACCCCTTTTACCCTTTCTGGACAGACCAAGGCCACGCCTTAGCAGATCAAGGCAAAACCACTGCCAAACACTCCTACGCACACCTTCCAAATCACAGGAGCGTGAGACGGTGATGAGCTGCAGCCCCAGCCAGGCTTGGGAAGTAATGGAATATATGTAACAGCACTGCGAGATCAGATCTCAGGAATTTGGTCCGATTTGCATTCCCATTACCATTGCTTTCCAGAATGTTACGCATTACTCAAAGAATGTTATCCAGCACAAATGTAAGGGATTTATAAGAAACGGAGTGTGAGGAACTTTAATTCACGAAGGAGAATTAGAACACGATCTGATCACCAACCCCGCCTGCCACTTCTGATCGCGCTGAAGGATGGTGATGGCACACAGAATTCACAAGGGGTTCCGCTGCAGTCTGAATCCCTCTCTGGCACCAGCAGCAGGGTTCTATCTAACCCATGCAAACCAGTTACTCTTCATGAACACGTCACCGTGTGCTGTGCAATGCCCTGGCGGAATAAAATAGGCCTCTGCGTTCAAGTAATTGGCACACTCGTATAGTTTTAACCAAGGGCTCCCACCTGGGCCTATGGGCACAGGTGTGATACGGATTGCTCGTTCTCATCTGGTTTTCAAGACGAGGTGCTGGACCTTCGGAATATATCCAGATATTAAGCGTGCCAACCCGCCAGGGAGATAAGTTTCATCCCTGAGCTCGTAAAAATATTGTGGAGACAGAATGTGGAGAAAAGTGCTCCTTACTCAAGAGTAGCAGAGTCAATGAAGTCGTTATTCAACACTGAGCAGGATGACGCAAGTGTTTGACCAATTTAGTATAGTTAACTAATGGAAATGGGCCCAGGAAGCACTGAAGTAAATCATTTATTAGCTTGTTAAGTATTGCTAGACAATTAGAACTAATAAATAATAAACTACTTTGGGCTTCATTCTGCAGTTAGTGGTTTGTTATTGCATAACCTACTACTGGTGATCTATTAATATTTCATTTGACCTATATGAAGTGGTAATAAAATACTCCAGTTTCAGCTGTGATGCACTGTAGCCAGATGAGAAGGGAAAGGAAAAGATATACACCACAACATTCAAGCACAATTGTCTTATCGGTCACCTGTCAACATGTCATTTCCTAGTCTGAGTAAATCAATACTACAGTGGAGGTATTTTAAAGAAAACAAGATATTCCTGTTTGGCAATGGGGTGTTCACTGATTGAGGACCAGCCACTCACTTATTTTTAAACAAACTGATCAGCACAGTGAGAGTGAAAGTGAGAATATTATTTATTTCAGGAAAGGAGACTCCTGTGTTCTCTGCTGACTGGAAAGGAATGGTGGAGGAGGAACAAATTCGGGTTGCACGCTGTTCTGAAGCCTGCTGCTCAAGATGGAGGCAATTACAACCGTTAGAAAAATCCCTCAATTCTTCCCTGACATCCGTCGTTTAAAAACATTACTCAGACACTGAGCTCCATTAAGCTACTGGATGGTGCCGATCAACGTCTCCAAATGACACAGGGAACCAGACCCAAGATTTCAGACCCCCAAGGTACTGCTTCTTTTGATGACGGGCCTGATGCTGAACCTGGAACATTGGAGCCCTGCTAACTGACCAGACACAGCCTTGGTCCTCTATAGCTTGGACACTTACAGTCATATTTCAACGCGGGGTGCAGTCATACACGGTCATACAAAATGAACTCAGCCTAGACAGCCCACTGAGTCCCCTGGCT